TATATATATATATATATATATATATATATATAAATAAACAAACCTAATCAAGTCCAATCAGTTTAATTAAATACAGCTGGACTCCAATGAAGGAGTAGAACCATCTCAAGGAGGATCAGAAGAAATGGACAGCATGTGAGTTAAATATGAGTGTCACAGCAAAGGGTCTGAATACTTATGACCATGTGATGTTTCAGTTTTTCTTTTTTAATAAATTTGCAAAAATTTCTACATTTCTGTTTTTTTCTGTCAAGATGGGGTGCTGTGTGTACATTAATGACAAATAAAATGAACTTTTTTGATTTTAGCAAATGGCTGCAATGAAACAAAGAGTGAAAAATGTAAAGGGGTCTGAATACTTTCCGTACCCACTGTATATATGTTCTGCTGCAACTGCTACTTTACTCTCCCTCATCCTCTTGCCAGTGTTTTGCCTTCCAGCTAACGTTGGCTCTGCACTGGAGAGAGAGAGATGGGTAGATAAGAGGCAGAATGGGGAAGAGAAAGTGAGAGACGGAGAGAGAAGAAGTAACCCAAATACTGAGCCAGAAAAGAATGTAATGAGAAATAAGAAGGAAAAGAATGCAGCCCAGGGTTGTTTCTGTGTTCCAGCTATATTTCTTTGAAATTAAATTAAATTACATTCATCCAAAATCATAAATTTGCCTCAGAGGGCTTTACAATCTGTACATATACGACATCCTCTGTCCCGGGACCCTCGCATCGGTAGAGGAAAAGCTTCCCCCAAAAAAGCCTTTTGAGCAGTCATCGTTCACGGCCACCTCCCTCTGTTGAAATATTCACTGCAGCTGTTATGTATCTGGAAACGGGCAGGCCATTGGGGACGCCTTAACCAAGCCTGCCTGCCTGCCTGCCTGCCTGTCTGTCTGTCTGACTGTCTGATCCACCGTGCATGTGTGCCATCACGTAAGTGCAGGCAGAACGCTCATACACACATTTTAGTTTTTTCTCATCAGATGATATGAGCTGGAGGTGGAAAGTCCGGCTCATAGACTCCCTTGGAGCAGTGGGAGGATTTGTGATTCTCGGCTCTTGATAATTCTTGGCTCTTGATAACAGTGTGGGAACACAACATGCTAAAGTGTTGCAGCCCGTTGGTTCTGGTCAAAATCACAGAGCGTTACTGTAATTCCTTAAATAGTTGCTAATAGTGAAAGAGGAGCAGCGTGGATGTTGGGACGCAGTGTTGGCCGGACTTTGGTCTACTCTAGACGAGGGGTTTTGAAAGTCTTGATACCATGGCCCCCTTATTTTCAGCAATAATCCAATGGAAAAATCCATTCGAGTTTTGTAGAGGGAACCAGTGTGATGCTGACTTTCTGATGGCCTACAAACATCTCTATAGGGTGGAAAACCAGTGAACCAGCATCAGCTGTGTTTAACCCATAAAACAAAGGGCTCCAGTGCAGTTGACTGGACATCACATAAGGAAGGAAATACCATTTAACTCAAACTTTCAAGACACATTGAGCTATGCAGCACAAACCCAGATATCATTTAGAACGTTTTTATTAATGTAAAGGCATCATCAGTGTCTCTCTCTGTTAATCTTGCAGGGGATTCGATATTGGCAACCATTTCTGTGAATGGATGTACGACTACAGCTGTGAGGAGTTTCCCTTCTTTAAAGTGAACGCTCAGGCCTACCCTTCGAAGGCCCAGCAGGTGTGTACAATATGCTAACAGGCCTACGTCTTATTTTATTTGGTTTGTACTGTTGCTAACTTGTCGTGTCTCTGCACAGCTGCACTTCATTGAAAGCTACCTGCGTGAGTCCGACCGAGGGTTTGACAACCTCAGCGAAGAGGACCAGATGAAACTGAAGGAGGAGCTGCACGTGGAGGTCAACAGGTGAGCTCAGATGTGGGACATGGTGTGTGAACCGACACAGTTCGAAACAGTGAAAAGGTGAAAACAAAGGGGCCGTGTGTTTTTTGACTCTAGGTTCTCCCTGGCTTCCCATTTTTTTTGGTGCTTGTGGTCAATCATCCAGGCCCGGCTCTCCACCATCAAGTTTGGATACCTGGTGAGTAAAAGTTTTAGCACTTTTTTATTTTTTATAGCTTTAAAGGTGCAATGTCCAAGATGTAGGCTTTTAGTTTAGAACATTCTAAAAGGGAGCAAACATTCTCAACAGATTGTGAAGAGGTTAGAGTGTTGATGTAATGTAAAAGACGTCTAAGAGATATCTACGGAAATTAGCACGCTAGCCCCGGCCCGTCCTGTCTTTTAATAGCCCCTTGTACTTCCGGCTAACGTAAACTTTAGGCCGACACCACACTTGAAGACTAAAAGAATGATGACTGTAAATTTAGATTGTATAAACCTTGGGGAGCAGGTGAACAGACGGAACTCATTGCACCTTTAAATATCAACTTATAAAAGGAGGAAATACTGCACTGTGTCAGTTAAAGACCTAAACAGTATTGCCCTGGAGGGCGATACTGGAGTGTCAATATTTACTGTGTAAAGGTTATCTTTGTTACTATACTTGCTGAGCTGAGCTGGGTACCACTAAAAAATCACATTAAGAAAAGTAAGGATATCAGCAAAGTTTTACTATTGATGTCATTATATGTTAAATGCACAAAAGAACTCTTTCAGATATAATGACATAACAGGATTATATACTACTCGCTGATTTAACCCGGCTAGAACATTCTTATACAAAATATGCTGTAAAAGTTGTAACTGCAGTCCAGCTTTAGATATTTGAAAATCACAACATTCAAATACATAACATAATACTTTATTGATTAAACTATTAGAAGAACTACACCTTAAATCAGAATGAAATTATAGTTGTATACAGATACACAAACTGGCAATGGGGACTTATAGAAAAAAAACAATGCAATACATAAAATAAGGGAACTATATAAATACAATACCAGCATACATAAATGTGCAATAATGTTGTATATGTGCAAGCTTCTCAATACCCATGTCTATGGTTGTATTAATGAATGTGCTGAAACACAGCATGTTCAATGTGCATTGTGTGGTATTATTAAGGATGAATATAAGCACAAATAAATTCATACATTCCACTACTTGCATTTAGTTTAATATAATGACAGGGCCACATAAAGTAACCCATGTCTGCATTCTTCCTTAATACAATGCTCTGTTTAGATTTAAATAGTTTTGCATACTGTGAGTTCTTAAAAAGCTGCTTTCTCCCTGTTGAACAAATATGTATCATCAGATTTTAATAAGATTGATGCTGCCGTTAACAAAAAAAACTCTTCCTCCAGCATTGTTCATACTATTGTCAACTGACTTGAAATTCTGGTGCAGGTAGACACGGCTAGACTTTGGGGATATTTGTATGTAAACTAATGAACAACACATCGAGAATATTTATTTTTGATGAAATGTTGCAGGTATAAAAAAAGTCTTGGGTTTTAATATTTGACTTGTAAACATCATAAAGTAAATATAAAGAGATTAAACAACAGTCAGGCCATTTGCATCACTATGCCTCTCTGACTTAACAGTTTTCATTCACTATTCTTTTCTCCAATTGCTCCCACTTTGCAGTTTTTTTTAGCTGTTACGCTAACTTCGTTGAAACTCAAAACTTCCTGCACTGGCGTCTCACATTAACAGTCCTCCAATTGCTCAAAGTCCATATTCCATCCCCTTGTGGGTAGGCTTTTATTGTGAAACATCTGCAGGAAGTGTGTTATCATTGATGCAGTAACAGTGAAAAGCAGGAGGAATGAATTGGTGAAAGAAAACCGTATTTCTGGCCAAAAGAAACTTAAGAATGGCAGAGTGATGAGTATGACACGATGATGACGATGAAGATGTGTGGTTAAAATGAGTATTCAAAGTCATTCCAATTTGAGAATTTTACGATCTATTCAGAATGGTGCTTGTGTACATATGTATTCATGTGTACTCTTCTGTGTTGTAGGAGTATGCCCAGGCCAGATTTGATGCCTACTTCCAGCAGAAGAAGATCTGGGCGGTCTAATGGAGCCAAATGATGGGATGGATTGACAGCATGTTCAGCCAAACGTGGGACATGCAGGCTGACAAAGACTCCACTCACCAAGCTTTACTTATGCTCCCTATCTTGAGTGGATTCGCTGGCCACTGTTAGTGCTGTGTTGACCAAATGCCAAAACTTGATCACGTGGCTAGGTGCTTAAGGTACGCCGCCCCCCCCCACTCCCCAAACTCCATTGCAGCTCAAAGTTTACACTGTCAGACTCTCAGAGAGCCCCTCCCCCTGAAAACTAAAATACAAAAAACACTGACTTGTACCAACCTTTATCACTGGTCGGAGCTGCTCTCCGCTTCTGCCTTGTTGGAACCATATCACTAACACGTTTAGAGCAGGAGAGAGGGGGTTACAGCTAGATTGGAAATGTTGACATTGAATCAATGTATCTGTATTGGTCATTCCCTTATGGAAATGTTCTGTTGGAAATAACCAAAATGTGAACATCTCTTGGTAGATTGCTGCTCACATAAGCAGCCAGTTGCTAACTATGTATATTATATATAGACCTCAGTGTGCCAGTAACCTGGCCCTGTCTGTTACTGACGGGCCAACTTGTTTGCTGGTGGAATCATGACTTGATCGACAGGTCGGAGTGATTTCCACACTTGTAGATATTACGCACTTGCTGCTTGTTCGATTTTATTTTTTTATCGTTGTATTTGACATTTTCTTCAGGCCAGGGCAAATACAGTTATGTGGTATTGTCAAGTATGTGAATAGTCAAAGTTCCTTTTTCTGGGCAGCTGGTTAAACTCCGCCAAAACCAAATCGAAGACGTTAAACATCGGGTGTCATCATTGATATTATGTCTGGTTCTTGGTGGCTTCCCAACTAATAACGCGATCACGCTGACCAGCTGTGACTTTTTCTCAACCTGATTTCATTTTTACTCACTGAAGTTTGGTAGGTTTATGGTATTAATATGAATAACTGTGACAAGTACATCTCTGTGTAGTTTACACATTGGGTATTAACATCTGCACTGTCTGATTTAGCCAAAAAGACATTCCAGCCATGCTTCATAAGCCTGGGAAAGTGTTGCTAAACAGCTAACTGACCCTATTTCTGCTTTTTTACTTTTATATTTTGCACTGACATACGTGCACAACAGTGGTCAATCCCTATGCCTACTGCTATCATTGTATCCATGACCTAGTATAGCATAGATTACTCACTTAAGACGAGTTGTGACTGGACAGCTGTACAGTCACTTTGTTAAAGGGGCATTTAGCAAATTTAGCATCTGCTACTGAGAGCTGAGTCCTAGCGTAATCACCTTGTCAATACAAGCACACACTCTGGCTCATATTATGGCCATTATCTGCTGTAGCATGGCAAAATACTTACTTAATGCACCTGTAACAAAGGAATCGCTGTGCCCTGTGTGTGACAGGCTCGCCTCATAGGCTCTGCTTTTAGTCTGTCTGATATGCAGTTGGATTAGAATTCAAAATTGTTTCAAATGAGAGAGAACTGTGACTTATGCATCGTGCTGTCTCTCACCCAAACACCTTGAGACTACCCCAATTCTACCCAGACAGCAACCTACGGTTCTGCTGACTTACGCCAATGCTGAAGGAAAATGTATGACAAGAATGTTTTTTTGGTCTAAAGGCCTTTACACTGGGGGCTTGACGAACATACAACACAACAATACTCGCCTGCGAATATTTCATCAAAATGATTCATACCGGCAGCGATGCGTAAAAAAAATGATGGCACTTTTTCATCACATAGTATGAAATGGCATCATCCTCCAAACTCTTTAAATGCCGAGTGTCACACTTATTATGACCCCCATGCATAACGTGGAGAAATCCAGAGCTGTATACCTAATTACAGTTGCTAAACCATGATTGGACAATCACTGTTTGGGATAGGGATTCAGCAACGGTCAATTGAAAAGCGGAATATTTGCTTTAGATAGTTTTAAGTAATACTGCATGGAAATACTAAAGGAGATACTTGTTTTCCACAAAATGTCTGATTGACAAATGAAAGCTGTGCGACCGCCCCAAAGGCTGTCATGCATATCCATGTTCGTTGCTGTTAGGTTGTAGCATTGTGTATACACCAGGGTATATTTCCTGTATACCTGTGAGCACTGGGACTTCCGCGTGGAAGCAACCAAATGACTCTTGTGAAGCGTACAGTAAGCATTACCTCATACTTGTGAAAATGGCTATACAAGTGTGTACACAGAGCTGAAGGAACTGAGCTGGATCATGTAACTAAACTAAACCCAACACTAGTCACCTGATACTGGAACCATCCAGAAGTGTTAGAATGTCCACTGAGGCACTTTTGATCTGAGGACCGGAAAACAAAATATGTACGATATATTTACTTGAGTGTTTTCGTGTGTGAAACATTTGGGGGTTGTTGAACTGTGACTGTTGTTGAAATGTTAGTTTTATTTTACATGCAAGTGTATTTTTATTGTATATTTCACTGTGATATTTCCTTTGGAATGGGTTTACTGTATAGTTTTAACATTTTATTTTGCGATACAGTGGGACTAGGGGTCGTGCCAGCAGAATGTGTCGTGGATTATACTGGTGGTCTATTAAAAAAGTGTTACTGCGGCATTCCCTTTGTAGCAATAGTCTATAGTCTTTTTTTCAATACCATTCAGTGGCTCTTTCTTCTACCAAACCTAGTATTCATTTTTTTCTCTTTCATGAATGAAATGTATTTGTCCTGACCTTTCCTACATGCTGTCTCTCAATTTTTTTTGGTCCCTTTCCATGATTTCCATGATATTATGTTATATTTGTTATAGAAAAAAAACATGATCTGTAACTAAAGTACATTCCATACTTAACCTTCAGTATCATGTACACTCAACCAAAATAACTAAACATTTTGATCTGATTGGTTCCAATACAATTGTGGAAGTTCCCAGTAGAGAACAAACAAACTACCCTCACTTCTGTTTATACCTGTAATTAAATATATGTAATATTCACTGACAAAAATATAGAGGGACATGCTGAAAAATATCCAAATATAAAGAATCATAAACTTGTACCTTTTCATTCATGGTCTTAATGTAATACAGTTTTGTTTTGTTAAAAAAAAAAAAAAACATTCTGTTCAGTGAAAGCACCCACAACTACACTATCATGTGACTCACATTGATGACCTTTGCTATCTATGCAGCTATACTGAATGCATATGTACTCATAGAAATATAATGGGTGAACTGCTGCAGCATAGAAAATACCTTGGCTGTAAATGTACTTTTTTGCTTTGCACAAACAAAAAGTAAAGAGAAAACAACTAACTGACCAGTGTTTTTTTGTACCCATAATATATTTGAGACTTTACATGAAAGGTCCAATAAACTATTGTGTTGGAGGGAACTGCTGCTTGTTGTGTTGAATAAGCACAGCTTTTTATTATTGGAACCATATTGGTTAAATATTTTGTATCACTTGATGCTTTAGCATTTTGGTGGCCACAGGTGACAGTTATTTTTTTTTAACATATTAGTCTTTAGCCACTCTAAGAACACCTATATTGGTCTGTTGGTTCAGCGCTTTAGACTGATATGTTATGGCAACCATAGCATGCTATCATCATGCTGTTTTGTGATGTCGAATGACCGTCCAATCAGACTCCCACAGCAGGGGTTCAAGCTAAATGCTAACATCAGCATGCTACTTGCTTAAAATGACTATGCTAACATGCTGTTTTGTAGCCATACAATTCACCATGTTTAGCATCTTAGCACAGCATGTTAGCATGCTAACATTTGCTAATTAGCATTAAACACAACAGACGAGGCTGATGGGTGTGTCATTAGTTTTGCAGGTATTTGCTCATAAACTAAAACCTCTGGACAGCTGGGACTGTGGAATGCTGCAGTGATGAGACGTACCTTTACACGCAAATGAAAAATGCTTGCCTGGGAATATTTTGCATCATAACTATTCAGAAAGGTAGCCCATACAATCAATGATTGGCAGCCAACTGAATTCATGTCCTATTCTTTTTTTCGGTAAGGGCATTTGATTGCTGTTGCGATGTATAGAGAATAATATAACAAATGTAAAAAAAAAATCTAAAGACACCCTATCTTTAAGTTGTATAATGTTTTTAAAATGAAGGTTTGCAGACCAAATTCTATTTTCAAAGATTAATAAACTGAGCAAACTGTGATTCACACTCACAGTCCTCAATAAGGCGTCTATCTTTCAGATTATTAGAAAATAACAGACAGCCAACTGAGCTCATTTGCCAACCATTGTAAGTTGTGCTCCTTGACTTTTTGCAGTGTCATGGCTCTGTAATACTGCCAACAGTGGATCGAATAACGTGTTGTGCAACAAAGTCGGAAAACAGTTTACATGTGTCTGGTTTTTATCATGGTGTGTTTAATGAATTAAGATAAAATGTTCATTAGCTCCACAGCCAGGTCTGATAATAATTCATGTCTCTATGTGATATTGTAGGATATAAGGTGGAACTTAGAATAGTGAGTTTGTAGAGGTTGACACTAATATTAGCCAATTGGACCCACCTCCAGTTGCCTAGTGGTAAATGCACAAAATATGCAGTTTCTGTTTTAAATGTGCATTGATCGATATTTTTAAAGTTACCCCACAATTAAATTACAACGTGACACGGGTTGCTGGTTGTGTATTATTCACAGGAAATGGGCTGCAGATTTAGCAGCTCTGTAAAACATTTCAGCCTCTTTTAGCTTCTTGTTTTGGTTTCAGTCTCCACACAGCTCCAGTGTTGGAGATTGAGTTGTAAGAACCACTTATTTTCTCATATTAACCAGTGCTTGTGTGGGATAGAACAATGGACTTACATTTGTCAAAAACACAACTCCAACTGAATGTTAGTGTTTGTCTGTGTCTACTTGAATGTGGAATACTTTAACATTTTGGGAAATACACTTTTTTAGTGGGTAATAAGAAGATTGATAGCAATTGCATGTCAGTCAGTTAAATATAAGCTACAGCTGGTTAGCTTAGCTTAGCATTAAGGCTCGAAACTGGGGGGGGAAATAGCCTGGCTGTTTCCGCCCACCAGCACCTCTGAAGTTCACTAATTATCACGAGTCAAGGGTTTTTTTAGTGTTAGATGGAGCCAGGCTAGCTAGTTTTGCCCTTTTTAACAAGTCCTTGTGCTAAGCTAAACTAAGCTAACCAGACCTTGTCATCGAGCAAGAAAGTAAACATACTTCCCCAAATTTCTATTGCTTTAAATAAGCAACTGTTTGATGATACTTTAAAGGTGCTATTTACGAGATTGGTAGCATTTCTATTGCCATTCAACTGCTCTCAACTTGCCGGTGGCTCACAGCTAACAGTGCTCACAGCTAACAGTGCTAACAGCGATAACAGTGCTAACTACAGCAAAAGTGCTGAGGGAACTTACAGTGTTTACCTGAGGGGGAACCTGGAGGGTAGGTGCTACGCTTCCGCAACAATGCCATTGGTCACAACAGCATTATCAACTGTAACTGCGGTATGAGAGCAGTGCAGAGATGCGGCTGTGAGCTAACCAGTGGGGCACACTCACATGCACTAACATGCACTAAAAGTATGCATGTCCGGCATGCAAGGAGAAGCTCTGACAACAACAGACACAGAGGCAGAGAGACTTCATTCTCTGTTCAGGTAGACATTACTCCGCTATATCTTTACAAAACAAATAGTTGCTTGCTACTATATTAATGCTCTGAATCCCGTATATGGCACCACTAACTACAACAACTGTTTAAGGCGGTCATATGGTGGTGGCTTTTGTCTGCTTGTTTTGGTGATTTTCTGCCCTAAACTGACAACAGAAAATACATACATTTATCTTGAAGTAAATTACTACATAAAGCCACACCCTTAACGCCATGCCTGCAGAATGTAAAAGCTGACATTGTGGCTCAAGTTGCTGCAGCAATCAGACTGAGTAGTGCATGCAAGAGCGAGCCAAAAAAAAAAGGGGGGACTAATGGAATGGATTGTACAAAACCCTTCGGTGTGATAGATGCTTGGTGCTTTCTTCATCAGTACAAAAAATGGGCTCACATTCTTGCAGAAATGTGTGTTTCGCTGCAGCCACGCTATTGAGATGTGTCAAGTTACTTCACCTCAAACTATGCAATTACAGTTTCTGTGCAAGCGTAGTTCATGTATGACACAGCCCCCTTTTGTTTCCCAAACATTCCTTTCGCTGTTGACAATGAAGCATAGAGGACAGAGAGACAAAGGCCAGAGGGACAAGAAGAGGCGAAGGTAAAAGGTAAAAGTCAGGGAAAGTAGGAGGGGTGTGTGAGTTTATAGATGTGGTTTGGAGATTAAAATGAATGCAAAGTTACAGCTTGCAGAGACTGGGGGGGGGGGTTACTGGCCACTGCTCAGGGGGCTGGAATCTTTCTTTCTGCTATGTGTGTATCAGTGTCCTTCCCTTTGTTAGCAAATCCACGGGAGAGACAGAAAAGTGGGTCATGGCGGTCGGTAAATTTCACACTGGCCGATGCACTGTACATGCAAACGTCGGGCAGGTTTCATGTTGGGGGACCATGTAAACAAGCAAATGTCTTGTCGACCAGCGAGGAAGAGTTTCCGTGTACGTCCCAGAGTCACGCTGAGGCCTTGGCTCCCAGTGTCCTCTGACACACAGAGAGAGAGGCAAACAGGGCAGCAAGAATGTAGTGTGGAGGAATGTCAACACAGAGACAAATAGCAAAGGGTTAGAATGATCAGCTGGGGGGCTTTTGCTTGTTTACATCCATGTGGCCTGCCTGAAGTTGTTGCTTTTGTTAAATAAGATACAGACTGGAACAGCGAAAACATCTGCTGCTGCTGGTCTGCGTCTGCTGAAAAGAAGTCTTCATTTTAGAGGAAGACGGGCATTGCATTTTCAGCCCCGGTGCCAGAAAATTGGATAGAATAAACAGAGGAATTGACAGTGAGCGTGCATAATGACACAGACCAAGGATAACATTTACAGAAATAATATTGCATGTCAAAACCAGAAGTTATGCTCTGCTGTACAGTTTGGTGCTTCTTGCCTAAACCAAGCCCGTGTGCACATTTTTCATCATCACCGACAACCCAAGTTGTCTCCAGTTTTGTCCATCAGTGGTGATATGGACATTGGACACACAAGTGGGATGATTTGACTTTGGAAAAGTCTTGGGGAACATGTCCGAACAGAGATCATTAGCTGGGACATTCTTCGAATAGGCATTCCTGGATCATCATGAAATTATTTATATTCTGAAGTCTAAATCTTTCTATTTTGTATGATTCATTTCTTTTTCAAAATACATTGCATTACACAATAAATAACACAACTAACTGACTGACTCTGAAGCGTTCAAGTAAGAATAAAGTAAACGGAGTAAACATGTAAGTGGATTTATAAAATAATGATAATATGAACTCACCAGTGATTCCTAGTCTAACAGGGCCATCTGGTGGCAGATGAACAATCTCGACTTCCCTCTCTATATTTTCTCTTTATGGCAGAGCACATAGTAGAGCCTGAAGCATATATATCATCACGTTTTAATGATGTAATTTCTAAACAAATGTAGTTCATAACATTAATGTAGACAACTGATCACAGTCTTTGGTAAGCCAGGCAGAAGGGCTCAGACAGGTATGTTCTAAAAACTTTTTATGTTGTTTTCTTATTTAGTCTTTTACATTTAGTCTAAAATATATATCTCAAGTGGTTGAAACATATTTATTTTACTCAAGTAAAAGTAGCAATACTATAGAAATACTCAGTTACCAATAAAAGTAGTTTATTCTTTAAACTTTAAGGGACCCTATGTGAATTAAACTTTAACTGTAAGTAAAAACTTAAACTAATAGATATCATCTGTAAAAACCTTCAGAATATAGAGAGGAATGAAAGTGGAAAGTTTGGTGTATGTAAGAGCTACGGAAGTGCAGATTTCTGGCTCAGTCTGAGAAAAAAGTAATTGAGAGAAAACGGCTTTAAATAAATGTTTTATAAAATAACATACATTTTGAAGACACTACATATAGGGTAAAGAAAATTAACTAATAGATCCCATAAGAACCCACACCCATTTTTCCTTAAAGGAAAATTATAGGAGACATAAAACAGACTAAATGGACCACATGGAACACATTTCTGAAAATATTTTCCAAATACTACCCGCTGCATTGGGCGTTTACGTATACATTTTTTGATTGGTAACAAATATTTGCTTTTTTATTTGCAACACAGATCAAAATTATAACCTTTCTGGTGAGATTTAACCAAAACATCTTTTTCAGATTTGTTTTACAAGAC